TTTATATGCTCTTGAGACAAGGGTTCAGTTTGTAACTCATTTGTATTCACATACTGTGAGCTAGGAGGGAGACGCAGTGTGTGTGTGTGTGTGTGTGTGTGTGTGTGTTGTGTGTGTGTGTGTGTTGGGTACCATAATATTTTTCTTTTTTCTAATTTGTTTGTTTTTCTTAAAGTACAAGGGACAACAAATTTCTAAATATGTTTAAACTAACCCTCCCTTTCACTGGCCAGGATTGGTCTAGGAAACCCTGGTTGGGAGACATTGGGCTTTCAGCACCAGGAGGGTGGGGAAGAGCAAGGCAAGGAAGGGCAGGTGGCCCATAATGGCCAGGTGAGGACCATATCCAAGAAAGGCACACCTCAGAGGACAGATGCCAAGGAGTCATGGCAGACAGCACCCGGCTCTCCCAGCAGACCCACCATGAAAGCCATTTGTCAGCCTTCTCTCCTTTGGTACAAATAAAATGGAAAACGACTTTCTTCTTCAAGCAGAGACTGAGTTTGCCACAGCAGATCCCCTGTAGGAGGCTTCAGGAGAGGCTTGGAGGATCTGTGATGACCAGGGATGGAGGATCTGTGATGACCAGGGATGGTGTGTTGAAAGCAGAGTTTCAACAAGAGACACAACAGGTCTCCACCTCACACCAAGGTGGAGGAGAATCCCACCAGCACCAGGGTGGAGTCTGCACTGGAAGAACATGCAGCCCCTCCCCGCCAGGGAAAGTATCACAGCTGTTCACCAAACAACAACCATTCCTTAAATGCTTTGTATGTGCTCAGCATTATGCTAAAATGTGAAGAAACAAGATAAGTGAGACACAGACCTGACCTCAAAGAACTAATGGGATAGGGTGATGAAAATGAATAGCAATCTGGGAAACCTAAGTCCTTCAGCTTAGTGCAAAATCTTCTCTAGGCAGCCTAGATGAGGATGGTACTGTCAATAAGTTTTGATGGGGGAAAGGCAAAGGCAGGTGCAACACAGAAGGAGCCCCATTCAATCATTCATTGATCCCTGATTCCAAGTGTACTGTATAGAGAAACCGATGGATTAATATTTGAACCCCTTCTATCACCTGGGATTTATGATGGCCTCCTAGGAACTTGCCAATACAGGAAGCTGACCACCCAACAGAATCTAGAGAGAGCTAGAGAATACTTTTCTGTGAAGGGTGTAGTCTTGCACAGCATCTTTTAGGAGAAATGGAGAGAGCTCATATATTTGCTTACTCAGGAAAGACTCAGAAGAATTAGACAGCATTAAGGATGTACCAATGAAAGCCCAGTGTTCATTGGCTGTGCTAAAATGCGTTCTTACATGCATAGATAAAAACAAAAGACAAGGTGCAGAGTCCTCAATGGCCTCTGAAAGACACTGTGGCTCCACCAATGCCGCCCCTATACTGAAAGTATTGTGCTGACACTTACAGGGATGCAGGCCAAGTGTCAGTAAACCCTCATGCAGACAGAGATGGCTTTTCCTTTTGGGAACAGTAAGATGGGGCTCTGTTTCCTGAATAGGCTAAGGCTCACGGAGGTGCAAACCTCTGCATCCCTCAGAGCAGGTGCACAGAGCAAGAACAGGCATATTTAGAATGCTGGTGCACCTTCTTCTTGAACTCTAGGAGCAATACATTAATGAGGAGAGCAAAAAAGTCATGATGCTGGAAATAACATTTATAAAATTACTTCTTGCACTCAATGGTTGTGCCAAGAGAGAGTTTGGAAGCCCCTACTTCCCTCTCCATCCTGCCCATGGGCAACTGACATTATCTCCATCTGATGAAGAGGCTTGGGCAAGGCCTCTTGACCTTTTCCGCCAGATATTCATCCTAGGCATTCCTGTAGCAAACTGCATGAGCCTCTGCTGAGATCATGGTTAAAATTTCTCTACGACATTTCCACCCACAGGGTGGCTAAGACTCAAAATACTCTTTAATTATGAGTTTATTGCAAGCAGCACCATGGGTTATGATGGATGAAAGTAGGATTTTTCAAAAATGTACAGAACAAATGAACAAGTCTGGAGGAAAAAAAAGTGCAATGCCATCATCATGTTGCACAAAGGACCCTGACCAACTATTCATTCTGGGTACATGAGTGCATGCGTGAGTGTATGCGTATGTGTGTAGAAAGATGATCTTGATTTAACCACTTAAGGATGATCTTGATCTAACTTCACAGAATGGGACAAAAGATGACAATATCTCACTGCTTTTAGAGGCTCTGCAAAGGTGAATATCTTTCTCTCTGAGGAGCCCGAAGCCTGTCCTATCTTATTTAATTTAAGCACTGTCTTGGAAACATCTAGTGGGGAAAGATGAGGGCTTGACTGCTAAGGGTCTCCAACTTCAGTTTTGAATTGGCAGCAGCCCAATGACATCTCTGATCTCCAAATAATCATTCAGTGGGAACACAGAACTCCGGTGAGTTCAGAGATGATTAGTTATTGCATGGCATGTCCCATCAGTTTGACTCTCGGAGAGCTAATCCAGGCCCAGGATGTGGACAAAGCTGTTCATGTAAATTACTCTAATCCTCAGATAGATTGTGATCATCCTGCCCCTCTTTCCGTGATCCATTTTCTGTTTCCATAGCAGCTAAAACCTCAGTAAAATGGCAGCATCTGGCCCAGGCTCAGGTAAAGTCCTCTGGGGAAGGGCATCTGCTTGATGCCCGCAATAGAGGGAAAACAGGACTCCAAGACACAGCAGCTTGAGTATCAGTGAGACACAGGGAATAGGCTCAGCTCTTAAGGGGAGACCACCTAATTGAGAAGAGGAAATAGGGAGGGATGCAATGTGGAAAATTAAAGCAGACACATTCAGGAGACTGTGAGAGAAAAAGAAAAGTGCAGAACCAAAAAGAGTAAGGGAAAATGCATATATAAAAGGAAATGTGCAGAAGTAAAGGGCACTTTTACAAGGACAAAGAACTGACCACTCAGAGGTGGAATTAAGAAAAGATATCAAAGAGGAGACAGAGCTAGTTTCTTGGCATGAGGCAAAGGAAATCTAACCCGATGATAAATGCTCTGCAGATCAGAAAGGCACAGACTGCCCTAGCACTAGCAGCACTGGGATGTTGCATGACGCTGTGATGAATGGCACACACTGTGGACTTGGTGTTTGTCCTTAGAATGGACCATCCTTCGGAAGTGCCAGAGCCAGTCTACATCACCAGTGATATGGGTTCAGGCAAGGTCATAACCTAGATTTGGGGACTGTCCGCACATAAGGTCATTTCAAATGGAGAGACTGGCAGAGACACAAGTAGCTGTCACTGATCTCTTTGTTCACAGAGGTAGTGTCAATAATAGTGGCCTAGGACAACTCCTAGGAATTCAGGGTAAAGGCAAGTGATCTTTGCACACCCTCTCTGAGAACATCCATCGCCATACACTGTGGCCACTGGAGAGAGGAAATTCAGTTTTTGAGGACAATTGAAGTTCTATTCTGTCTTTCTTGAATGTTCCAGTGCAGTGGGCACTTTGATGCACTGACACCTTCAGGAACGGAGGGCTCTTGCCCCAAGGAAGGACAGGCTTTGGTGGACAGTCTTTAGCATTCAGTCCTTTGCATGGCTCATCTTATATGAAGACAGACTCCTAGCCTGAGGTTATAATCTTTTGGCAAACAGCCTAAATTCAATGGAGGACTGCTATGTTGATACAAAGAACCAGCCCCAGTACCTTCACAGAGGACATTTCTGGAGGGCTAGCCCAGCTTCAAAACCCCCCATAGGGTCAGCAGAGGTGTTCCACCGAACCACATCACAGCTCAGTTTCTCCTTCTGTCCAAATTTCCCTCTCCACTCTTCCTTTCTAAAAGAACTGATGTCAAGATCACTCTCAGCTAAGTTTCATACCAGTCACTTTCTCCCAGTGTTAAGGTGCAATAAACAAATTACCTCCACTATGGTGCCCTTGGATTCCTTAAGCCTACACTGCCCAGTTGGACATATGACTTCACTTTCTACTCATGCACACACACACACACACACACACATGCATAATTGTACATAAATATTTATATTATCCAGTAAGAGGCAGCAAATTTCAGGACCTCTATGCATGTATTTGTTCATATGCCAGCTTTATGGAGGCCTTCCTTGATCAAACATCATGTCACTTGGTCAAGGTATAGAGCTCTATCTTCTGAGCTCCTGTTATATTCTACATCCATTTATTTATTGCTTGTCATCTGTCTAGTGCAAACATGAATTCATGATAACATAAATTTGTCAATTTAAGTTTACTGTTATATTCTCGGGTGCCTAGAACAGAGCTGGGGCTGATACAATACTCATTAAATACTTAAGAATGAATGAAATAACTTTATGTTACTTGCTTCCAAATAAAAGCTAACTTAATGACAAATAACATCTTGTCTTAACTTCTAACAGTTTAAATATTCAGTTCTCAAAAGCACCACTCAGTCTGGTCTAGCTAACATCTGAACATTTAAACCAAATGAATTTTGCAATTTAGCCACACATTAAGTTATATTTATTATCTAGGATCAATCAGAGAAAAACAACAACAAAACCACAAAAATGAGTATTGACCAGATTGTTGGCAATACTGACGAGGACAGACTAGGAAATGTTCCTGTTTGGAATACGACCATTTAAATCTGTCATCATCATTACATATTTGTATTTTCTGTCTCTCAAAACTGCCAACCGAGCAATGCCAATGAAGTAGATCCCTGTGTTCTTAAACTTAACATGTCAAGTTCACCCAGAACATCTCAACCACCACTTTACCCAGAAACAACTGTGATTGATTTACAAAGGATTGGAGAGATAGTCAGTTGTGATTTCTGAAATCTTAGAGGACATGGCTGTCTTGCAGAGAACATCAAAATCTCTGCAGAGCCATGAGTTTGTTACTGCCAGAAACAGACGCCCTTGGAGTGATAGCCGGTGCCATAAGCTTCTGCCTGTGGTCTTCTCCCATGTCCTCTGCTGACATCATGCCCAAGCTGCTGCTCTTACCTTTGGGAGAGATGTGTCTCCAGGTGACCGTAGGCTCTGGTCTACCTGTTGCTATGCAGGTGAGGCTAATATTGTTCCCTTCGTTGATGGAGATATCTGAAGAAATTTCTACAATTTTGGGAGATACTGTGAAGACAAAAGAGGTGGAAGGAAAATAAGATACATTTCTGCTGATACATTTCTCTGGTGTCTTAAAATGGTAGTCGACAGAATATCCCAAAGACAAATATGTGGACTACATTTGTAGATGATTACAAATTAGAAAAATTACCTTAGTAATGAAAAGAATCTTACCTTGAATTTAGCTTGCATTTCCTCCATATAAACACAAAGTCAGAGTCCGAACTGGTACAAATTGCACTGCAGTGCTGCAGTAACTGTTCCTCTAGCCTACACCTTTTTCCCATCTCCACCCTCACCCCACCCACCTCCACCACATAGCCACGAGTCATTCTTCTCACTGCACTCCAAGCTGTCTTTATGTAATGTGATTCTGATCAAGCACATCACTGCTTAGGAGCTCAGATTGCTCCCTATTCCCTATCTGGCCATAACCAGGCTCCTTACTTAGTGTATGAGGCCATTCAGATTCAAGCATCAGCAGATACTCTCACTGCCATCTCCAGGGATTCTATTCTGCTAATCTACTTGCTGACCCATCCTGTCCTTTAAGGTCACCAGGCATGTGGATCTCCATTGTTCTTTACAGTCTTCCTGGGAAGTTCTAAGTCATGCTTTGTAGCTCAAGTACAAGGCCATTTTCCCTGTTGCAGTCCTCACCACTCCTACAACCTCCTGTCCTCCTTAAAAGCTTAGATGTAGTCCTGCCTTTTCAAGTGAAAATAACGTCAGCTAGCTGTAACACACCTGGCCGGTCTGTGTCTCTGTCTATCCGAAGGTCTCTTTCCCCTAAATCACTCTTTCCAAAGAGGTGACATTTTCATCTCAAAGGGGACAGGACTCTCACTCCCTGAAGTCTTTTGTTTTAGCTCCTCCATGCTGCTGTGCTCCTCTTGCTTGTTTTACTGCAGCAGTAACCCACAGGGGCAGGTCTGTGCTGCAGTACACATTGCCTCTGTACACCTGTCTCACTCCTGGGTCCAGTTTTAAAGCTCATAATTGCTACACTTCTGATCATAATTCTATAGCATCAGCTTTACCACTAGTCAATGTGATATTTGGCTTTCTATGTGGCTACTCATTTGTCTAATCTGTCAAATGGTTTATAATTCAAGTGGATGAATTGAGAGTGCCATTGACTGAGCTCCCAGACTGCACTTGTAGACAGCACAGTACGGCTGTTTGCTTAGCATTACTCACCCACTAGGCCATGAGCTTTCTGAAACCCTGAACCATGACTTTTTCATATTTGTCTCCACAGTAAAAGTTCAACATACATTCATATAGCTGAATTATAAAGGTTCTTCAAGGGATCCACCTTCCCAACCTGCTCCATGTTTTCAAAAGCATCAGAGTGGGGTCATTAGCACACATTATTTCAGTCTTACTGACACTGGATCGGACAGTTTCATTCTTGGAAAGTTAATAGACCTCTCCATCTAGTGCTCTCGTGTTTCTTCACATGGACTTCTTTTCTGGCCTATGTGTTCTGTGGAGCCCAAGGCTCCACGGTGCAATCCCAAGGCTCATTGCCCTCCCAGCACACAATGCCATCTGTTCTGATAGTTAATGCAGGGAAGTTGCAGAATGACTTATTCTTCATTCCAAAACCAGAATGATAATGTTGCTAAAGTCAGATTGCTTCCGAAATCTTAATGCTGGCCTTTTCTCTAATTCAACCACTGCTCACACTCATCCAGAAGGAAAGTGGGTATGATGGAGAGATCTCCTCTCAGTACTCGTCCTGTCCCTCCTCAGTATTTCCTTCCAGTCATGCTCTACACTCCACTGAATGGGGGCACTTATGGCTCATAGCATGTGCTGTTCCTTTGTGTCCTTATCTCCAGCCTATCACTGTAGACATCAGTGCTTAGGTGCTTTTCTTGGACTATGCCTATTAGAATCACCCCAGGCCTAAAGGATTACCACTCTTTCCATGTGGCCTTCTAGGGAACATCCAAAAGTAATGAGCTCCCCTTTCTGGTGAGCAGACAGCATTTATAGTGTCTTCCTTATGATACTTCCAAGTAGGACTCTCTTAGGTTACATTTGTCTCACTTTTCCTTCTGTGCCATAAATTATCTGAATATAAGATGTTAATTATAAGCTTTACTCATCAATGAATTTTCTACTGTCCTGAGAGGGTGTTTTGCATAGCACAAGCACCAATTAATCACTTTTATGTTTAAGTCTACATTGAGTTTCAGATAAAGAGCCAGTGAGTGTGTGTGTGAGAGTGTGTGTGTGTGTGCATGCATGTACACATGTACCTGTATTTTTGAAGATATTTAGTGGGACAGAAATAATGGAGAAGCCAGGCATGGTGGTTCATGCCTGTAATCCCAGCATCAGGAGGCTGAGGCAGGAGAATCGTGAGTTTGAGACGAGCCTGGGCTACAGAGTGAACTCAAGCCCAACCTGAAATGCATAGAGACAACCTGTCTGAAAGAAGAAAGAAAGAAAGAAAGAAAGAAAGAAAGAAAGAAAGAAAGAAAGAAAGAAAGAAAGAAAGAAAGAAGAAAGAAAGAAAAGAAATAATGGAGAGTGGCTGTGAAGGTTGGAGAGAGACTTTGACTCTACTCTACAACTGCAACTTTTAATATATAACATTGCAATTTATGGCTGTGTCACTTAAAAAGCCAGATTGGGCCATCTAGGACAGAGAAGTAATTGATGAGTTAATGACTGAGTGTTTGATTTGCTGACTTCCTGATGGGTACAATTTTCTAAATTCTCTTCGTTCTAAAATTGTTTAAACTGATCTTGCAGAAGTAAAAACTTTGATGTATTTTGTTTACAGAGCTTTAATCGAAGCATCCTCTGCTTTTGCACTCTTTCCCCTACCGAGAAGTTTGCCTGGTCTCTGCTCCTGCTTGTCCCTGGCGCCCACACAGCCCTGTTTGCCTCCCAGAGGACAGGCTGCCTGCAGAATGTCTTGCTGGCCTTGCAGACATTGCTCCAACTGTGCAGGTGAGTAATTTATTGATCTGTAAAGCACTCTGAGATGCTCTGCAAGGGATTATGTCATGCCAATGCCATGCAATAAAATAAAAAATGATGGACTTTGTGAACACAGGGTGATTTAGGATTCGTAGTTGGAAGTGTGCTTAAAGTACATTTTAAGTGGAAATCAGGCTGGGTAATGAATTACTCTTGCTTTGGAAGGGCTTACTGGGAGTTCATTTTCCTGGCTTCTTACATGATAGCTAATCTGCTAATCATACACTAGAGAACAATGGACAGTCCCCAAGCAGGATGGGAGGTGGCTGGGGCCAGAGCTGTCAGCTCAGCCAGTGTATTAAATGGGACAATCATATCTCATGCTTGGAAGAATCATCTAGAATTGTCCCCCCTTCACCCCCAGCAATTGGAAAATATCCAACTCATGAAGCACAAGTTGGAGAAGTGCTTACCATCCTTTTAGTCCTGCCTAAGATGACAGCTTGAACTGCCCCAGATGAATGTGAAAGACAAGCCATTCAGGGAATAGAGGTGAGGAGCTCTAGCTGGAGGTGCAATCCCAATTATCAAAACTAAACTGGCATAGTATGCAAGGTGTTAGGGGATTGTAAGTATCACTTTCTAGGTGGCAACATCTAGCACATTGTCAGTATTTAAAATTAAATTGGACACTGTGGTTACAACTCAAAGATAAAGCAATTCCTTAGCATGTGCAAGATCCTGGGTCCAATTCCCAGCAACGACAAAAAAATTAAAACAAATGGATAGGCTGCAGTATGGTTTTAGCCAATTTATGTCCATAAGGAAGCTTTTACCTAATTGTGAGGTAGGATTACTTACATGTTTATATTGTTCCCATGCATATGTTTCATATCTTGCATTTCATCATGCAGGCTATGTTCATTCACTCATTCATTCACTCATTCATTCCATTAATATCCACGGGTCCCTTGCCAGGTACTAGTACAGTGCTAAGCACTGGAAACAAACTAGGTAAGACACAGTCCTGTCCTCAAGCAGTTCACAGCCTAAAGAGGCAGAAACAGATAAAGAAGTCTGATCTTTCAATGGATTGTGACAGAGAAGGATGAATCAGATGTTACAGAATGCAGAGGATAAACACCAGAACACTGAAACCCGCCTACAGATGGATGTCATGGAGGCTTCCTGCATACAGGAGGAGCATATGAAGCCTCAGGAAATAAGTAAAATTAATCAAGTCTGTGGATAAGCGGAGAGATATTCTAGGCAAAAGGGATAGCATAAGGAAAGCACTAATAGAAAGACATGATTTTTAATGGTAGAAGTCTCCTTTTGGGACTGGGCTAAAACTCATTCAATAAACATTGTATGAATTCATACTATATACACACCTGTGTACTAGGTATGAGGGTCGTGCAGGAAACTGCCAGATTCCTTGGTCCTCCATGAACTTACAGTCTGAGGAAACAGTGCATACAACCTAACTAATAAAGCAAAATATACTAGAAAACTGTGCAAATGAACGCCAAATAAATGATGTAAACATTAAGCTTTAAGAGCTGGTGGAAGATTGCAGCACATGCAAGTGTCAGAGGTGCCTTCACCTTGAACAAGCCTCTTGAAGATCAACACACAAGAATCATCTAGTCAGTAAAAAAGTGAAGCTACTTCAGATGGGATGGGATTACACTGGCACGGATGGGAAGGCAGAAATCTGTCAAGTACATTAAGATATGAATTCTAAAGAGGCAATTTAGAGTAGGATGGAGATGCTGTCTCTACTACTTTCTAACTGGGTATCCCTCAGAGAAGTTGACTCACCTCTCTGTACCTCACCCTCCTCATCTACAAAATTTAGTGAATAGTTCCATAGGATGCTGGGGCTCAGTGGGTTCTTCTGAGGATTTAAGAAGCAGGCTTCTGAAATATCCTGAGAGCAGTTTCCGGCAATGTGTAGTGCTCAATAAATGAGTTTTAATATCGTGTGTGGTTGGTAAATGTGCATTTGCAGTGTCAATTCAGAAGAGACAGTCAATACATTTTCTAAGAATCAATGGAAACTG